ACGATCTCACATTTTGGCGACGACGACAGGACACGATCTCATGATGGTATTAACACTCACTATTTTATAATTTATCTAAGAAAAAATTCCATTCGTATATAATAATACAATTAAAAGGTTTTATTTTTTATTTTTATGTAATCTATTAGACTATTCATCTGGGATACTTAATTCAATTTGTTGTGAGTCTACACAATCTTTATAAGGATAAATATTAGTTATAATCAATGTTAATTTTGATATCAAATTTAGAACTATTAAAATAATTAATGATTAATGTGATAATAATTACCATTAGAGTTGCTAATAATTGTAACTTTATTTGAATTTACAGGTTGAGGAAGATTCATGAATTTTAATAATCTGCTGGTATAAACAGCATTTGGATGTACAAATTCTGCAATTGTTGAAGGGTTAAATTCAATATTTTCCATTTCATCAATTTCTTTTTGAATTAATTTTATTTGATCAATTTGTTCTTGAGAATATTTATAATAATTAATTCCATAGGAGTATTGAGGATTATTTAAAATTTGTTTATTAGAGTACTTAAGCCAGTATAAAATGGCGTTTTCAATTTCTCCAGCAGTTGGACATTTATCTGGATCAGCATCCATACATCTGTATGCTAATTCAATGTAAAATTTTGGAGTATTGTTTGAGAATCCTGGCCTTAAACCTTCACATATTTTCATAGCAAGATCTAAATCATGTGCTAAATTACTGAAAGGTTGTTGACCAGTTGATACTACTGACATCAATACACCAAAACTATATATATCTGATGCCTCTGTATATGGTTTTTTTCTTAATACCTCTGGTGCTACATATGGCAGTACTCCATATACATTATTTTTGTTTGATGATGTTTGATTAGCTGGGATTGATAACCCAAAATCTGTAATATATGAATCGTTATAACTACTAGCTTTTTTTAGAAGAATATTACCACTATGAAAATCATGATGAACAATTTTTAGAGAATGAATATCCCTTAACCCAGAAATAATACTATAAAGGGCCGCAACTTTGTCTTTCCATTTTAAATTTTTAAATTCATTTGTTAAATGATGTTGAAGACTTCCATCTTTTATATATTGCATTATAAATATATATTCTCTTGTATTTGGATCTTGTGTTAAGCCTTAAATTCGAATTACATTTTCTTTATCATGAAATTTAACATAATTTTTGAACTATAAAAAATAAAATAAAATTTCATCACTAATAATGGAAAAAATTTGAAAACAATAATAATAAAATAATTTACTTCATTAAGAAATTCATCAGAAATATTTTGTGAATTATGTAATTTTTTTAATGCAATGGTTATATCTTTCTTGACATACATATTCTATATACTTTTCACGGTTTATCCAAGTAGCTTTGTATATAGTTGCAAATCCACCTTCGCAGATCTTTTCAATATCTTTTAAATCATTGTAAGTAACCCATTGAAGATAATTTGAATTTTCATATGTTGTTGTTTTAAGCTGTGCATCTTTAATCAACTCATCTATTGTTTCATTACCACTAGTCCATCCTTCAGTTAATAACTTTGGGTCGCATGATTGACACCATGAAAGCCAAGTATTATATCTATTACAGGATGGACATTCACCATATATTTCCTCTCTTTTATTTGAATATTCATCTTTATCATTTGTGTCAAGAGAAATATCATTTTGATGTTTATTTTTGTTTAAAGTT